TGCTCGAAGCCGGCGGAGGTTCCCCCCGCTGTCCCTCGCCGGTGCAGCTCGGTCACCCCCATGGCCGGGAAGCCCCCGGGGGGGAGGCGGAGGAGGGGGGGGCTGCGGGACCAACCGCCGACGGGGCGCACACACCGGGTGGCGCTGCGAGTCCGCGTGTCCGCGTGTCTGTCTGTGTCCGAGTCCGAGCCGGGGCAGAAAAAAGGGAAGGGGAGGGATGGGGGAGCAGCATCCCCCTCCCGAGAAAAGCAGCCGTGCAGCGATGGGGAGAAAATCCAGGCGAGGAGCCGGGACAGAAAAAAGGGAAGGGGAGGCATGGGGGGCAGCTCCTCGTTCCCGAAAGAAGTAGTCCTGCAGCGACGGGGAGAAAGCCCAGGAGAGGTGCAAAGCCTGCCGCCCAGCAGCCACCGGGATGGGCGAGCGGCCGGCTTCATTGCCAGCGGAAGGCGCGCTTGTAACGCGGGCGCAGCTGGAGGTTGCACCGAGTGTATGGGCACACGCATACACATGCTCCTGTCTCAAGAGATGTGGCCAGGAGTAAAGTACAGTGTGTTGCCGGCCAAAAAAAAAAAAAAAAAATTAAAAAAAATTTTATTTTCGCCATCCCCGCAAAGGAAACTGGCACGGCGCACATGTCCCCAGGATCAAAAGCTGTTGGAAAGGAACCTTCTTCCCACCCACTCCTCTTTCCCTAACCAGGGACAAAGTTCCTGTGTCACTATTTGGGGAGTTTCAGTAGTACAAGCCCACAACCCTCCCTTCTCTGCCCCCGACCCTAAGGGAAGCCCTGGGGTGCCGGCCGGCAGCAGGGGTGCCCCGCAGCACCAGCGCCCTGGGGCGACCGACGCTTCACCAGCAAAAGTTGTGGTGCTCCGTGACGGCTTTTTGCACTTTGCAGAACACTATCGCTCATCCTGGAAAACAGCAATCTCCAAATGCCAAGACCGAAGTTGCTCCCCAGGAGATGGGTCCATTATCCAGCCTCTCATGGGGCCTAACGGGCAGTACAAATATGCCTGTTGCAGAATTGTTCATTGGTCAAGGAGTAATGCAGAGTCCCAGTTTGTTTTGAAATCCACAAATATAAAATGGAGTTACTCTGTATTTAGAATGCCCCACTAAAGCTCCTATGCAGTACTGCTTGCCATTATCCCCTATTTCCCTAATCCCTTTTTTAAAAAAGTGAATAATTCCAAGCAGCAGTTAGAAAACCATTGAACTGGAAATGCAGTAATTGTCCTAAATGGCACAGTTTTTCTCAGTGCACACCTTCCTGATGTGTAACAATTTCCCCATACGCTTTAGCACAAGGTGGCCAGCTCGCTTGAAAAGATGCCCCACACACAATAGTCGAAAACCTGGTGTTCTACACTTTAAGGCAGATATTGCAGAATGTGCTTTCCTCCATGGAAACGTTGAGGACTTTTTTTTAATATCTTTAGGATAATAAAGCAAAGCGTAATAGAGCGAGCTGAGAAAGCAGACACTGATTTATGCTAAGAAACACAAGGTTATTCTGATATAGCAAAAGAGTTTTGTTCTTTGAAAGTGTGAGCAACTGCACACCTAATTTGTTCACACCTTTTCCTGGCTCTTTCTTCCCAAAGCTAAACCAGAGGTCGCTTCCCAGAATGTAACTGAAGTGTGGCGGTTTTTGGCAAGTGCATACTTACAACCATTTGTACTGAAAGATTTGTTGGACTGCATCAAGTATCCTTACTCTGCCACCTTTACAGCTGTGAAGGTGTTGACGGCTGGATTAGCCATCACATCCACAAATAAAGTGTTTGAGATTTCATTTCTTGCTTTCTACTTTCACATTCCTAGACTGGAAGCAAGCGAGAAGCCAACACCCTTTGATGGCTGTTTAGTCTCGGCAGGCACAGGCCGAGGGTAGTGGGAAAGGCGCTACGGCAGGCAGAAATGAAGTGGCGTTTTAAATTGCTTCAGCTGCGCACATCTCCCATCACTGCTCTATTGAAAATTTAGACTGGAAAATGACAATGAAAAGCCGGAATAATGGGAAAAGCAGGACACGAAATTCGATAGACATTGCTATGAGCTTGAAGGGGAGAGACTTAAAAGGTCAGAGAGCAAACGGGAATGGCCACAATCATCTGAAGGCGGTTGGAAGGTAAGTTGATGGACACCGGTTTGACCTGTGGGTCAGCAAACTAGTTTAACTCTACCTTGATCTGCACAACGCAGAGACAAGTTCCCGGCTCCTATCAAATAACTCAATGCCCTTATCTGGAAGGGTTTAGTAAAAGTAAATCAACTACAAAAAGGAGCTATTCAGCCTCCAAGTGCTGGGTTGTGCTGGTAAAAGGAAGAAAAAACATGCGTGTTCTCACACAGCCTGGATCCAAACCGGCAGCTCCGGAGCGGCAGAGGCACACGCTCCTTCCTGAGGGAAGGATAAGTTTTGTCGCTGGCTCTATCCCACTGCCAGACTGCCCTGAGACGGAGCACTAAACAAACCATCAAGCTCCTGGATAGTGGCATTTTGGTAGAGCTTTCTTTTCAGGGGGATATTGGAGAAGCAGTATTAGAAGTTACCCACTGCTCCATTTCCCTTTCCTTTTCACTTGGGGCTCAGCCCATTCCATCAGGACTGAAACCTCCAGGTAACATGAATGCTGCCTCTCGCTCCCACTGGGGAAATCAGGTGCTGCTACACCACTCCATTTACATGGCATTAAAAAAAAAAAAAAAAAAAAAAAAAAAGAGGGAAAAAAAAGCAGAGCAAACTGTTGCTTTGTTCTGGTAGGAAACTTTGCAGGCCTCTGACGGTTGCATTTTTAATGAAGCAAAATCAGAATGCAGCTTAGAGAAACTCAGCCAGAACAACTCCTGTTTCCAGTGCACATTAAAAGCCCCTTCTTATCCCTAGACCATGCACAGAACCAAAATCTTCAATGCGTCTGGAGTTGACTCCTCTGCACTCTTTTGCTCCGCATTTTAATACCTGCTGTTTAGGCTATCTCTAATAATGTGCTTTACAAGTATGCACAAAAGAGCCTTCTGCTACGTGGATTCCATGCTCTAGCCCTGATTTTTCAGTACCCCGAAAGTGAGCATCACCTCCCTATGTAATCCAAGAGGCCAGATTTCCAAACAGGAACAACACTTCCCCCACATCCCCCCCTCAAAAGTGTTAGAAGAAAGTGTTAGCAGGGGTTTTGGGTTGGGGTTTTTTTTGCCAAAATGTTAAGCAAATGCCATAACTGCAAAAGACGCCAAGTTTTAAGAAACCCTTGCAATAGTGTTTTTATTGTTGTTCAGGGATAGCTGTGGACAAGATTTAAAGGACACAGCAAGGGCGGCAGCGCTGGACCGGCTGGTTGGCAGCACCCCGCCACCCTTGAAATCGCCCCGATTCCCGGTCCTGCGGGGAAAATGCCCCCGGACGAGAAGGGAGATTTCATGCACAACCGCAAAGTTTCCCACCCAAGAACCGCAGGAGTTAGCCCTCGCTATGGCAGTTAGCATTGCTCCCAGCCACAAGCACGTTACCTAAAAATAAAAGTGGCCGACCACTTTTTATTTTGTCTTTTAAAGCCATAATGAGCCTTAGCATTTCAATATCAAATCGCCTTTCACAATGGATCTGGCACGATGTGAAAAATAAATTCTGAGGAGGAGATACATGCAAAGCAGCCCCTCACGGTCGGTTTTGCGAGAGGCACCGTATCATTAGTTTGATAAAAATAATTTAAAAAAAAAAAGGTGTTAATGCCTTTCCTCTAGTTTCCTCTACTAGTGCATTACAAAAAGTACTAAGCACAACGCCAACTTACTTGTTTTAATGCCTCAAAGCTGCTCTCACTAGGTGCTACGATGTACAATGGGATTGAATTTGTTGTATTTCCACTTTTCTCTGAAACTCTAGAGCACGCCTCATGCCATATGAGTTCCAAGTAAATCATTGCCTGTAACGATGGAATTAAAAAGAAGAAAAACAATTGGCTGACCTAAGGTAGAATGTTTATCTGGAGTTTATTAATACCATTTAAAATATTACAGATAAAAATCAATTACATTTCATGCATTTAAAATGCAAATCTAAAATGTTCCAGCGAAGGGCTTTCCATTTCAATGTGAAATATCCAAATTATTTCAACATTACAATGAGACAATTAGTTTGCAGCATTGCAAACCGCTAATGTAGTGTTAGGAGTGTTTATTAACATTTATCAATATTATTTTCAGGAAATACACATAGGCCAACGTTAGTTCAGTTTCACTTGGACAGTTTATTTAATACATGGGTCGTGGCAAACCCACTTTATGAAATATAGGAGAACTCTCACTGTAACTATACCTGAACTGCCAGCAAATGCAAATAAGTACATGCTCCATTAAATTAAATGTCATTCAACATTTATCAAATAGTGTTTGCTTAATTACAGTTGTATGCCTACCTAAATTAATATTCAAGCAAAACCTATATCCTGAAGTGCGATTTGATGTACACTTCAAGGAACGAGTCCAGAAAAAGAATGCAGTGAACCAGGACTGCAACAATAACGCTTTCTCATGACAGGAAAAGAAATAAAAAATTAAAAAAAAAAAAAAGCTCAAGTGTACTTCAATATATTTTCAAATATTTACTGGAAGTAATTTACAAGAAAAATACTATACAAAATCGTCTCCTGGACAACTGCACCTCACACCGATACATTGGTGGAGTTATACTTAATTGTTAGCTAATCTAGAACGATTTCCCAGTTGTACAAACCTATAGGTTCAGACGTATTTTACAAATATTTTATTTTCCTGTACCCGCCCCGGCCTCCCTTTTTGGCATTGGAACTGCAGCTTCCCTTGAAACCCACGGTGCTTCTTCATTTGCCTGGAGTTTAAAAATATATGACTTTCAACCTAATTATTTTCAGCGTATTTCGCGATTCCTACTCAAACGGGAATTAAACAAATGCGCTGGCAAACGGAATGAAATTTGGACTCGGGGAGGTAAACGGTTAGTTAAAATTAAAAAAAAAAAAAAAAAAAAGGGGGGGGGGGGGGGGGGGGGAGAAGGGGAAGCACGCTGCCGCTCCGGTCCCGGGGAGCAGAAGGACTTCGCGCCGTTAACGAGACGAGGGGCAGGTCGGAGTCTCAGCTCGGGGCCGTGCGGGGAGAACGACGGCGGCGGGCGGGCGCTGCC